AATTGTCTTCCAAAACGGGGCACTTGCTCAGTATTAGTAAAATTCTGGGCTGGCAAAAAATAGTTGGGTTACAAGTGAGACATGTACTCCAAGGGAGAACAGACAAAGAATAGCCTTTTTAAAACAATGCTAACTTAGCTGAGTGCTAAGGCTAATAGAAACCAGATGAGGGGTGGGTCCATTCAAGGGTGGTTCGGTGCTAGATTTCTCCTCAGCATTGTGTGCCTTACTTTAACAGACCAAATCATTAACTAAACCACAAACAAACAAAATCCTCATGATTGAGGGTCTCCTGTACTAGGACAATATGAAAAACAGCAAGTGAAAGAACATTCTCCTCCAGGATCATGTTTAAAGGATGTATATATGCATATGTGTGTATTATATGCAGTACATGTATTACGATTATAAAGGGTTTTTTTTTTTTTGGGTGGGGCACATACCAACTTATTTCTCTTCCAGTCTTCCTCATGTAAATAAGTGCCATCATCATAGTACCGAAGCCAGACTCCTGGTAGTCATTCCTGTTTGCTGCTGCTTCTTTATCCGTTACACTCAGTCTATCAGCAATGCTGTTGCTGTAAAGTGTATCTCAAATTACCTCCTCTCTAGTTCCACTATGGTGACCTCCTGCAAGCTCCTGACAGTTTACAACATTGCAATTCCTCCTAACTGGTCTTCCTGCTGTCTGACTTTGGTTAAAACCCTTACTCTCTCTAGACTCAGTGCACTTCTGGTAAAATAAAAATAGTAAGTAGTTCCTACTTCTTAGGGTAGATGAGAGCTTCAATGAGAAGGTGGGGCCAGTATGTAGCATGATGTATGGGCTATGGTAAGTTCTTAACAAATGTTATTACCACAGCTAGTACCCTCCATACCAGGAACTTTTACTGGGGATTTTAACATCAATAGATAAATCTCTTAAGGAGTGCATACTATAAAAATACGCAGGTTTTCTGTGTTACTAACCAGTGATTTGAAACCATAATTGTATATTTGCCAGCTCTTGATTCACAGACATGTTTTGGGGGATTCCTAAGAGAATGTCTATGTGATTTCATGTCTTAGGTATGCCAACCCCGTGGGCATGATGGAGGCCATGGAAGTGGAAGATCCTGTTCTGTTTGGGATGGTGAGGATTGAATGATTCCACTTTCCTCATGGCAAAGAGTTGCTTTATATAATAAATGCAATTAACCTCAAATGAAGAAAGACTAAATAATATCTTTGACTTAGGCACAATTAGAAATGATTTATCAGGCTGAATTATTTAGTAATTACTGGACGTTTATGAATATGTGATCATCTGTTGATCAGTGTCGTAAAGCAATGAACTTTCTAGAGCATGGGTTACTCAAATTTTCTGAATTTGAGTAATATATATAATATAAAATAATATATATAAAATATAAAAGTAATATATATAGTAAATATATAATAAATATAGTAAAATTTAATTAATTTAGACTCTCTAAGGAGAAAGGAAGAAATAAGTAAAAGCCCCAACAGTTCATCAATTTAAAAAATTCAATCTTTGAATTGGAAGGCGAGCATTATTGGATTAGAGAGTCTATATAAAAATCATCTAGTTTGTTAGTACAATTAGCATGGATTACTTCTGTCACCACCCAAACCCGAAGACATGTTAAAAACTATCATCAACAGTGAAGAATCTATTCATGTACATTTGTGGGTATGTATATAGATGTGTGTGCTTTAGACTGACATAGTAGTTTGTTAGTGCTGTCCACTCATATTTCCAAGTTGTTTTCCTTTAGGCAAATTGTAGGATAGAATTTATATGTTCTTTTCAAGCAGCCATGGTTATATGGCATGATTTGGCCAATAAAATGTGATTGGAAATGGAATGGGGCCTGGAGTCTGGCTCACACAGAACTGAGCTTCCCACGATGCATGGTCATGATTTCTCCAAGTGAGAGGAAAAACCTTCATTGTTCTAAGCTTTTAAGATTTCATGGTTGTTTACTAAAGCAACATAATTTAGCCTATCCTAACCAATATAAATGATAACAGCACCTCCAATGGCATTGGCCATTATCTTTGAGAGCTGTAAAAGATTCTTATGATTAAAAATCATAAGTAGTATTATAAGTTATATTTATAAACTTACACAAAGAAACATGGTGGTTTATTTCAATATAACAAAATAAGAGTTAGAGTAAGAATATACTATGTGGAGGTAGATGACATTATCAATATAAATTTAAAAAGTGATATGATCGTCTATCTAAAAACCTAAGACAACAAACTGACAATTTATTCAAAATTCAACAAGATGAATGTATTAACAATAAATGTTCAGAAATCAACATTCTGATATTAATCATAGCCAATTAGAAAATTTAGTGGAAAAACACAATCCTTTTCAATATGCAATGCTGTCTATTAATTCCAGAGGATCAAATAGATAATTGTTTTAAAGTTTGCAAAAAGGGGGCACTGGAAGGGTAAACAAGGCAATAATAAAGATGATAACCTCCAGAGAATGGGAGTGAGGGGCTGAGGGAGGCAAGGGTAGAGTCAAGACCTCTGAGTGTATATATAAAGCTATAAATTTGGCCTTGTAATCATGTAAATGCATTATTTTTTTTAAATTTTTTTAAAGTTTATTTATTTTTGAGACAGAGAGAGACAGAGCATGAACGGGGGAGGGTCAGAGAGAGGGAGACACAGAATCCGGAACAGGCTCCAGGCTCTGAGCTGTCAGCACAGAGCCCGACATGGGGCTCGAACTGACGGACCGTTGAGATCATGACCTGAGCCGAAGTCAGACACTTAACCGACTGAGCCACCCAGGCGCCCCAAATGCATTATTTTTTTAAAAATATAAAAATCAAATCATAAAATCTTGAAGAAAATGAACCTGGATGGTGGATCACGTGGGGAAGTTGTTTCTATACTTAAAAACAGGAAGAAGCTGAAAAGGAAAATATGGGTAGATTTGACTATACACAAACTAAAGATTCTGAGAGTTAAATGGCACCATGAACCAAGTCAAAATCAAATGACAGTGAAGATATTTGTAACATGTATATGGCCAAGGAGATATTCACATATATCCCTAATCTTTTCAATGCCAAGAAAACTACGAATACTCCAGCAGAAAAGTAGGCAGGAGACACAAAACATAATTTATATATATAAAAAAATACGAGTGGTCATTAAATCAGAGGAAAGCAAAGGCCAACCTCACTAGTGATCAGACAAATAAAAATTAAGACGAGACGATTTTTGGCTTATCAACTTGGCGAGGATTAAGAAGAAAGCTAATAAACACAGTGTTGATGACATGGTGATAAAATGGGCAACTTTATAGTAAAAAATGAAAAAGCGGATAATAAAAATGCTTGTATCTTCCAATTAAAAACCACATGCATATATTTTTAGAATAAAAAACTTCGACAGAAATACCATGGAATGTTAACAGCAGTTGCATCCTGCTGGCCGGGTATAATCTATATTTTTTACTTTTGATTTTTAATGTGTTTTTCAAAATTTTCAACATTTCCACAACATGCATGATTTTTTATCAAGAGGAAGTGTCATTTTTTTTAAAAGCATGTGAGATAAGAATCTAAAGTCCTTCTGAGTCCAGGTTTCCTCTTCCTTTTTATAAAAATCTCCTCTTTTTCAGCAAATTCTGATGAAATGTTATTTCCTGAGGCTGTCATCATTAAAGATAATTTTTAAATGTTTTTAACAATTATTTTATAAAGTTATAGTATAATTTTTAATTATAAAGTTAATGATAATCATGTAGCAGAAGTGTTTTCCTTGTTTTCACTGCACAGGTATAATTTTGCCTGCACTCTGACTTCATTAGGTTTGGACCCTATACCTGCTGAGGATTGGTAACACTGTCCCTTTGGACGAATGTGTTGGACCTCTAAGCGATGAATTAAAAAACAAAAAATGACAACAACAAAAACTTTGGGATACAATTCCTTTTAAGTAGCTAGTGCTTTCAGATATTGTTATTTGAATTTCTGATCATACACTGTTCTTTAAAATTCCACAGGGGACTTTACGGGTGTCTTCTTATCTCGAGTAGGATGCTGGCCACTGCCCAGGTATACTCACGTGCACTGGGCTGAAGAGATCGGTTTCCTCCACTTCCCAGAGTATCCATTAGGCACTCAACAAATGCCAGTTGAACAGAATAGAAAAGATTCTTGGTCTAGAAGAACGTAGGGCATCAGGTTGCTGCAGAGAGGAGAGACCTATGCTGACAGACTGCATTCCAGCAGTTTCCAGGTGAGGGCCTGGCATTGTCTTTCTGGTCCCTTCGCCTGGATCAGTGGGCAGATTGCATTTCATTTCGGTGGATTAAGGTTAGGAGTTTAGCTTGCTAGTTCTTTCTCAGTCCTGTTTGGTTTCTCTCCCTCACACACACCTGGTGAGGCATTGAACTCCTGGTCCCGGGAGGGGCTGTTTCCTCAACTCTTGAATTTTGTGTGTCTGAGACCCAAGGCTGCAAGCAAACACCCTCCAAGACCAGTTGGCTTTCCCGTGGAACATCCCTCAGCTCTGAAGTCCCACTCTGTCTCTGTCGGAGGTCTCAGGGGAATGCTCATTATTACTTTGTTCCTCTTAAAAATCTGCCATTAGGAATTAAGCCAGTAATAATATAAAATTAAACTTTTATAATGTTTTGCAGGATACTGAGCTCTCAATTTACCCACATTTTATCATAACGGAGGGATTGACCCTGTCCCCTTTCTAAAACTAAGCAATAAAAACCTCTATGTTTTCCAGGAATTTTCTTTCCTGAGGACACATGCTTTCATGCAGAAGGCTCTTACTTCACGTGACAGGAATGTTAGTGGGGCAGGGGCTGTGGTTCGGACAATGTTACTCCCCTTCTCTTACTGCTCGCCCCCACCAGAAACTCCTCATCTGGCTAACCTGAGACTTGTTTGCTGATGAATGGACTTCCATGCCATCTCCTCTGGAACATTTCTATCTGCATTTAGGTTTTGGAGGCTGTGATATCCACACATTGTTGAGATGCTAAGGAGTTCCTATGGGGAAAAGGTGGCTAGCATTCAGATCATCTTTGAAGCTCAAGGTAAGGCTACCAGTAAAGGGGACCTAGAGCAGTTGTTCCTTAGAGTATGAATCACAGACCACCTGGTTTGACATCACCTGTGGAACTTGTTTTAAAAAAAAGGCAAATTCCTGAGTCTCGTCCCAGGATCCCTGTTCCTGGGGAGTGGAACTCTAGGATTTGTCTTCAAAAATTTTTTTTAAAAAATATTTATTTTTGAGAGAGAGGGAGAAGGAGAGAGAGAGAGAGACAGAGCATAAGTGGGGGAGGGGCAGGGAGAGAGGGAGACACAGGATCCGAAGCAGGTTCCAGGCTCTGAGCTGTCAGCACAGAGACAGATGCAGGACTCAAGCCCACAAACCGTGAGATCATGACCTGAACTGAAGTTTGATGCTTAATGGACTGAGCCAACCAGGCGCCTCTGGGATTTGCCTTTTTAACGAGAGCCTTGGGAAATCCTTTCACACACTACTCTTGAGGCTGGACGCCAAGTCTGGTTCTCTCTGTCCCATGCTGGGATGCCTCTTAATCATTGCGTGCTCTGTTTAGTGAAATGCTTTTTCCCTATTTCTGGGAGTGGATTACAGTGACCTGGCCACCCTTGCAGGCATTCTTTGAGTTTTTTCATCCTGCAGATATGTTTTTAGAACCTTCTATGTTCTAGACATTGGAAAATCTCAAGAAATCCAAAGATGGCATCCAAAGCTGCCTTTGGGGCCAGTTGCTGAAGTAAAACCGTGTACAATATCATTTCCTTGTTCCCTGTGTTTTCTCTTGCTCATGTTGGAGGCTGTGTGCTAGGAAACTCTTTCACGGGAGACCCACGCCCCTGAGTAAGCAGGGGGCCTCGTCCAGTCTTCTCACCTTGGTGGCAGAAACAGGACCAGCTGTCACAGCAGATGGTTTTTGAATGGTGTAGTAAGAAGAGGCACCAGCAGGCTTGTTTGGACTTCTTCATCTGTTTTCTTTCTTTCTTTCTTTCTTTCTTTCTTTCTTTCTTTCTTTCTTT